CCAGCCACTCCTCCCCAAGCTCCCCAAGAGGAAAACTTCCTCTTTGCCTTAGTGGCACATTTTATATTTCCCCCTATTTTTCTCTTTTGAATTAAGAAAAAATATCTATTTTTAAAGATAGTTTATAAGACATTTAAAAAAAAATAATAATTTTGACACTATTGCAGTATAGGCCTGCATGATGTATGCTTTATGAACTTTGTTCTTTAGTCAGCTAATTATTTACAGGGAACATGAAAGTTTTGATGAAAAGCAATTGTGTCATACCTTAAATCTCCATCTAGTAACAACTACAAACTTGAGTGTGTGGTCCTTGCCAAGAATCTCTTCATTGCATAATATATCCAGCTGATGTAAAAAGAAGAAATAATTAATTCACTGAGACACAGAACATGGATTTGAAACAGTACACTTCAGATAAGGTCCAATAAAAAGATAAAGAAACAGAACTCAATTCTCATGTAAATACAGCTTTGTCCTTTGACATGCTATGAAAATTGTTTATACAGTACCCAGCAAGTAACTTTTTATTTTGAAAATACATTTTTAAAAGGCTATTCCTCGCTTATACATCAGTGTTTAGGACTTATTTTGCAGACACTTTATAGTTGTTTTTACTTTTCTATGTCATCTTTGAAAGATCTTGATATTGGAAACAGCAAGTGTATGGACTCATAAGGAAATGTGAGATCATGTGAACAGCCATCAGTTGAATTGCAATAGACAATCATGTGCATGATCTTAGCCTATTTGACTGCAGGGTGGCATGTACTGAAAGGGTAAGTCACCATGAAAGTGACACATACTAATGGCACTTTACCACAACTTGAGCAAGCTAATAATGTGCATGCAGTCCACTAGAATGGCTTAGCTGACAGACAATAACTCAAAACAGGATTTGTCTATAGCATTGAACCAAGTGTTCACAACCTTAGGGCTTTTCTCCTCAAAACATATTTTTCACTGGACATACTAATATACTGTTTCCACAAAAATGTCATGTGCCCTTAAAGGAGGAGGGAAGAATCCTGAAACACAAGTACTGTTGGATGAACATTCTTACATTTCAGTAAGAGCCAAGTAGGTTGTAAAATCAGAGATTGCTGCAGAGAAATAGTGAACTTAAACACAAAAGCAAAAAGTATAATTATTAAGAAAGTAATCCGAGTTTCTGAAAGGTGTGAGGGATTTTAACAAAGATGCTAGATGAGCCAACCATAGGTGACATACAGATGTATCTACTACTCACCAAATAGGAAGAACTTTCTGGGGACATGATAATCAATGGCAGCCTTGGTTGTAGCAACCATGAAATAGTGAAGTTCAGGATTCTGAAGGGAGTGAGGAAATCAAGTAACAGGATACTGGGCTTCAGTAGAGCAGAAATTTGCATTTTCAGGAAGCTGTTAAGTGGGATCCCATGAGAAGCAGCTCTGAAGATCAAAAGAGCTCAAGAGATGACAAGTCTTTAAGGACAACATCCTACAAGCACAAAAACAGTCAATCCCAATACTCAGAAAAAAAGAGTAGATATATCAGGAGACCAGCTTGGCTAAACAGGGAGCTCATGAAAAATAGGACATATACAGGAGATGGGAGTGAGAACAGGCTACAAAGGAGGAATATAGAAACATTGCCCAGGTATACAGATATGGTTTGGGGAAATCCAAAGCTCAGATGGAGTTGAAACTGGCAAGGGACATCAAGGGCAACAAGAAGAACGTCTATTGCATCATTATCAATAAAAGAATAAACAAGGAAAATGTGAGCCCACTGCTGCATGGTGTGGACAATTTTTGCGACAGTGTCTGCAGATAAGGTTGAGGTCCTCCGTGCCGCTTTTGCCTTGTTTTTCACCAACAAGGCCTCCCCGGCCTTTTTGTGACTATAGATAGAGTTCAAGGAGAAGATGAACTGCCAGTAGCAGAGAAGGATCAAGTCAGGGATCTATTAAGAAATCTCAACCCATACTAGTCCAAGGAACTAGATGGGATGCATCCAAGGGTACCACAAATGTTTGCTGATGTCATTGCAAGGTCACACTATCATCATTGTGTGATGGTTTGAACCTGCTGCTCCTGGTGGGTGGAGATTTGAACCAGGAGCAAGCCTGAATGAAAGGGGCGGAGAGCTGTTCTATTCCCACTCCCCTCTTCCTGTCTTCGGGACTTCCTGCTAGGGTCTATAAAGGGGGAGGGAAGACATGCCCCCTCTCTCTCTGCTGGGATCCTGGCCGGAGACATGCTGCTCTGCTGCTGTTTGTTGTTCCCTGTACTGCATGTGGCGGTGGCCATCTTGGGACCTGGGCCTGATCTACAGACTCATTCCCTGCCTCCATCCACATCCAAAGATTGTGCATCCAGCTTCAATCCACCTCAATCCAGCGAGATCCAGCACTGGGGAGCCTCAGCACAGTGCTTGGGTTTCGTATTTTTGGAAGTTTACCCTTCCTTGCTTTGTTATTCCTATAATCCCTTTACCCTGTTAAACCCCTACCCTTTTTCCTTTCTGTTCCCTGTTAAATAATATATTTCATTTTGTTAACTTTTCAATCGGTGCAAAGCTTTCATTACCCCTGCCTTCCTTTGTTTACCTCTCTACCTGGGAAAACTAAGGGATAAGGGAGGGGGAACACAATTCTGCCTTCTAACCAGGACACATTGAAAGGTCACAGAGGTCAGGGAAGGTACCCAATGACTGGAGAAATGTTATACATATCTTCAAGAAAGGCAAGAAGGACTATCTAGGGAACTAGAGCCCAGTCAGCCTCACTTTGGTGATTCATGTGAAAGTCATGAAGTGAGTCCTCTTGAAAGTCATTTCTGGGCACATAAAGGCAAAGGTAAATCCATGCTGGCTATTCCAAATCATCAAGGGGGAAAAAAAAAAAAAAAAATCACACTTGACCAACTTGATTACCTTCTTTAATGAAATGACTAGATTCATGGATGAGAAGAGAACAATGGATGTTGCGAACCTTGACTTAAGCAAGGCTTTCAGCAACATCTTGCACAGCATCCTTGTATCCAAATTGGGACATTATGATCTGGATGGTTGGACTACCTGATGGGTGAAGACCCAGATGGATTGTCAGGCTCAGATGGTAGTGGTTAATGGGTTGTACTCTATACAGAGGCCAATGACATGCAGAGTATTGCAGGGGTCTATCCTGGGACCTGTGGTGCTGAATGTCTTTATCAGTGACCTGGAGGAGGAGACATCAAGTCATCAAGCTTGTGGATGACACCAAACTGCAGGAGTGCAGCTGACACGCTTGAGGACGGGGCTACCATTCAGAAGGACCTAGACAGGCAAGAAGGGTGAACTGACAAAAATCTCATGAAATTCAACAAGAAAAATGGCAAAGTCATGAGATGTTACAAGCTAGGTAGCAGCTTTGCTTTAAAGGACCTGGGGGTCCCAGCTGAAAGCAAGTTGAACCTGAGTCAGCAGTGTGCTCTGTCAGTGATGAAGCCTAACAGGATACTGGGGTGTATCAATGTATTGGTTTTTCATGGCAAGGTATTGGTAGTAGGGGGGCTACAGGAGTGGTTTCTCTGAGAAGTTGCTAGAAGCTTCCTGTATATCTGACAGAGCCAATGCCAGCCAGCTCCAAGATGGACCCGCTGCTGGCCAAGGATGAGTCAATCAGCAACAGTGGTAGCACCTCTGTGATAACATATTTAAGAAGGGGAAAAAGTTACTGCACAGGAATAATTGCAGCCAAAGAGAGGAGTGAGAATATGTGAGAGAAACAACTCTGAAAACACCAAGGTCAGTGAAGAAGGAGGGGGAGGAGGTGCTCCATGTGCCAGAGCAGAGATTCCCCTGCAGCCCATGGAGGTTAACTGCAGAGCAGATATCCACCTGCAGCCCATGGAGGACCCTAAGCCAGAGCAGGTGGATGCCCAAAGGAGTCTGGACCACATGGGGAGCCTGCTCTGGAGCAGGGTTCTGGCAGGACCTGCGAAGAGAGGACCCCATGTTGGAGCAGGCTCCTGGCAGGACTTGTGACCACACAGGGGAACCACACTAGAGCAGTCTGTTCCTGAATGACTACATATCATGGAAAGGACCCACACAGGAGCAGTTCATGAAGAGCTGTAGCTTGTGGGAAGGACTCGTGTCAGAGAAGTTTGTGGAGGACTATCTCCTGTGGAAGGGATCCCATGCTGGAATAGGGGAAGAGTGCAAGAAGTCTGCCCCCTGAGAAGGAAGATGCAGCAGAAACAACATGTGATGAACTGACTACAATACCCACTTGGGGATGGGGGGAAGGAGGTAGAGAAATTGGGAGTAAAGTTCAGCCTGGGAAAAAGGAAGGGGTGGGGGGAAGGTGTTTTTAAGATTTGGTTTTATTTCTTATTACCTTTCTCTGATTTGATTGGTAATAAATTAAATTAATTTTTGCCCATGACGGCAATTGCTGAGTGATCTCCCTGTCCTTATCTCTACCCACGAGCCTTTTGTTATATTTTTTCTCTCCCCTATCTAGTTGAGAAGGGGGAGTGATAGAGCAGTTTTGGTGGGCTCCTACCATCCAGCGAGAGTCAACCAACCACAATCAGCAGATGAATAGCCAGTTAACTGAAAGAAATCAATGGAACAATGTCCAAATGGAAACCAGTAACGAGTAGTGACCCTCAAGGTTCCGTACCAATACTATTTAATATCTTCATCAATGACACACTGTGGGATCAAGTGCACTCCCAGCAAGTTTGCAGATGACACCAAGCTGAGTGGTGCAGTTGATACTCTAGAGGGATGGGATGCCATCCAGAGGGGCCTTGACATGTTTCAGGAGTAGGTCCCTGTAAACTTCAAGTTCAACAAGGCCAAATGCAAGGTCCTGCATCTGGGTCAAAGCAATCCCTGGTATCAACACAGGCTGAGGGATAAACGGATTGAGAGCAGCCCTGTAGAGAAAGACTTGGGAATATAGGTGGATGAAAAGATGGACATGAGCCAGCAGTGTGCACTTGGCGCCCACAAGACCAATCATTTTTAGATTACTGTATTTAGCAGTGTATCTAAGGCAGGAGTATCAAAAATAAACACTAAGAGAGAATTGCCAATGACAATGAATGTATATAAAGTTTTTGACATGTCAGAGTTTTAATGCAATCTAAACCAAACTTTAAATTCAACTCTGTTTTCCCAACCCCTCATCTGAGCAGTACCATCACCACTACAACTTCATAAGAAACACAGTATTTGATGCTCCACACCTTAGTGATCACGCAGAACAATCCTCCTGAGATTAACAAATTGAAGAGAAGGCTCTGAGGAGAACTTATTGCAGCCTTCCAGTATTTAAAGAGGGCTTATAAGAAAATGGAGAAAAGCTTTTTACCAGAGAAGAGAAGGCTCTGAGGAGAACTTATTGCAGCCTTCCAGTATTTAAAGAGGGCTTATAAGAAAATGGAGAAAAGCTTTTTACCAGAGCCTGTACTGACAGGACAAGGGGCAACAGTTTTAAATTGAAAGAGGGTAGATTTTGACTGGCTATAAGGAAAAAATTCTTTAAAATTAGGATGGTGAGACACTGGAATAGGTCACCCAGAGAAGTTGTAGATGCCCCATCTCTGGAAGG